ACTTTAAACATTTGTTTAACTGACCCTAGAGGGATTGAGGGGTTTTTCATATCTGCCTTAAAAAGGAACGCTGGATTATTTTACCTTTCTTTTTTAGGTCAATCAGGACTCCAAACTCTAACTGTTTTGGAGTTGAAACTCTGAATATGCTCTCTACAACTTAAAAATTAAGTTGTCACCTTTTGTTACAATAGCCTCTAAGATAATTTTGGACAACTGATGTTAGAAAACCAGGAACTGCTGATCTGAGTGATGAGTTACTATGTATGTCTTCTCATAGCTCAACTCTGCTGCTAATAATGTTCTCACTGACACCACTATGATGCCACAATTAGATTCCAGCATTCAATGGGTATAGACCTAAACTATAATTATATACCTTAACACAGGGCTGAATAATTTGAGGGAAGAAATTAATATATACTAAAAGTAACACCAGTGCAGGGTCAGTTAAAACTATAGGAAAGAATAGCAAACAGTGTCCTTTTTTTTCTTCCCTTAGGTTATTGGAAGGCTGTACAGATGTCTAGAATGTTTTTAAATCAGTTATTTTAAACTGTTTGGGTTGAGCATAAAACCCTTAGAAGGGTAGGACTCTATGATCAGCAGAGCAAATGAAAGGATAAGTATTTTTAAAACATTTCAGCTCCAGCAGCCAGCTAAATAAATTTTTTTCTACTCAGATATGTGATTTAAGAGGTTAGACTTTTTCATAGCTTTTTAAGAGTTACTAATAGTTTCCCCCCCCAAAAAAAATTAATATCTGGGACTTATAAAATCTATGGCTTTTTGTTTCTCCACTCTTCAGTAATCATTGTAAACTTTTTTTCCTCCAAAAAGAGCAAGAGATGTGTAATTAGTAGATCTGGGTTTAAGTCTTATAAGTCTTGGCTCCCTGTATTAGCTGTGTTGGCCTGGCCAGGTGACAATCTGTCTGAGCCTCGAGTTCCTCAGCCTACAAAATGAAGTTCCTAATTCTTGCCTCTACCTTCCTCACGGTGTTGTTTTGAAGATGTTATATATGAACATAGTCAATAAGCTAAAAACTATAAAAGTGTTCATTGTCACTGCCCACTGAACTAGAGGTAGCAAAGGAAAAGATTGTTCCTCTTTTTACAAAGACTCAGAGAACTTTTCACAATCTTTGAGTAGTAGCAAGCGTGTATTGTTGATATGTTCTGAGCTCTTTTTACACTCACAACAGTCATGAGCTAAGTGCATAATGAACCCCATCTCACAAACAAGGAAATTGAGGCACAGGGAGATTAACTAGCTGCTGATGTTCACACAGTTAGTATTTGAACCCAGACAGTGTGGCTCTGGAGTCCCTCTTACCCTTCTGATCGTTTTATTATACTGCTTCCCCATAAAGGTCTCCAGGAGACAGTCCACATCTCTCAGTATTTCATTCTCACAGGAGTTTTAAAACTCAAATTCTGCAAAACCTTTTAGAAATGTGTTTTCCCTAGGATAGATGACTTCCCTAAATTTCTGCAAAGTAAGTCTGTTTATATCACTGTGCTAAAAAGGAATAATTCTGAGTCAGTAGGCATCCTATTATGGTTTTACTACATAAGGTGAAAATTAACTGGAATGGTGTTTGTTTGCTATACTTATATAATCAAACGTTACAAGCCATGAAATTATTGCACTCTTTTTGTCGTTGAATGCCTAAGAAGTTTTCTAAATTTGTAAAGGCACTGTCAGATAATTTGGAGTTGAGTAATTGCTCCAGATACTGTATAACCTGCATAACCTTTTTTTTTGTCTTGAAATCAAGTTGTTTGTATAAAAAATAATTGTGAGAAACATTTGATAATGTACAAAATAGTCTATAATGACACTGTTCAGTACATTTTTATATTTTTTGTTACATCCCACTTTTTGTAAATATCCTCAAAAAAGCTTAATAATAAAATGTATTTCCATATCACCATACTTTTCCATGTGAAAACCTGAGCCTATCTCTGGTCGAGATATCCAAAGAAAATTTTATTTGGTTGTGTTATTTTCCCAGGCTTTGGTAAGAGAACTATTTTGGAAATAGTATTTGTAAATGGAACTAATGCTATATTTAAGAACAATGATTTTTTTTAACTGCCTAAAATAAAAAAAATAACTCATTATTATAATTTGATATGCAATTTGAGGTAATTAGAGGTCTCATTTCTTGGAATTAAAGTCTGAATAATTATAACAATACATTTTTTAGGCACTACTATTAAATAATCCACTACTGCAGCTGCCAGAAGACTTTAACGTATACCTAATACCAAAGTGAATTTCCTAGGTTTTAAGATATAAGGCATTGCCCGACTCTCCTATTAAATGGCCATTTCGGTTGTTTCCAGTTTTCCATAGGCTTTCTTACCTTCCAAAAATTGTCCCAACTAAGACTTTGAGGGGAAAAAATCATGGAAATAGAATAAGGGTGGCTAAGAATGGCCCAAGGCTGGACAGTATCTGAAAAAATAAGGCCTCCATGTTCCTTTACTTTAGAGTGACACACAGAATGCTAATCCTATTCTCAGTTAAGCCAAAGAAGCAATAAAAAGCAACAGTTCATCACTGCCAGTGAACTCCAATATAGTTCAAGACACATGGCTAATATCCTTTTCCTTTAATCTCACTTGTAAATTTGTGTTGCTAAAATAGCAATGTTTCAGAAAGTCCATATGTCTGGTATTAACACATTTCGTACCGCTCAGGAGTTTTCTTGTGTTTCGCGCACCATCTGTTAAGGACCGCTCACGAGTGTTCTCGTTTTTCACGCCCATGGAAAAAGGAGCAAATCTAGATACTTATGTAAATTTTGTTTGGTCCCTCTTCATAGAGGAAAATGTTTTACGCAGTACCATACGTTAAAAAAGTACTAGGAACTTTAATTGTTTAATTGTTTTTGTAAATAAAAATGTTATAATTATTGAAAAACAACACCTAAAGTGCATTATGATGATTTAAATAATGTGCAGTTTGCCCAAAAACGTGCGGTCCCTGGCATATGTCTTAGAGATTTCTATGCGGTACGCAATGTGTTAATATAAAAGTTCTGCCCTGACTGGTTTGGCTCAGTGGATAGACCGTCGGCCTGCGGACTGAAGGGTCCCAGGTTCGATTTCGGTCAAGGGCATGTACCTTGGTTGCGGGCCCATCCCCAGTGGGGGCTGTGCAGGAGGCAGCTGATCAATGTTTCTCTCTCATCGATGTTTCTAACTCTCTATCCCTCTCCCTTCCTCGCTGTAAAAAATCAATAAAATATATTTAAATAAAAATAAAAGTTCTGTGAACTAAAACATGAGAACTTAGTAAAACTAAAACTTGACATTTATCTGAAAATAAGGGAGAATTAGCTCAATTTGGAAACTTATACCTCCTAGATAGTCTACATTTAACTCACATTTTAAATGTTTACTGGTTTTACTGTGATTTTTAAATTTTTTAAAATCTAATTTTATTTTTAATTATAAAATTCCCAGAAGCCTGTGGTAAAAAATCCAAATACTTCAAAGGAGAACAAAGAAAAATGCTCTTTCCACCCCTAAGACCCTCTTCCAGATTGGGAAATTTAATAGTGATTATTGGGCATCCTTTCCTTCTTATATACAAGTAAGTAACACAGAACAAAAAACAACCTATCTGTACTAAAATACTCATTTCTGTGGAATTATAAGCATTTTTTTCTCCAACAAAAATGGAATCATAACTATAAAACATTTTGCACCCTACTCTTTCCACTTATATCTTAGAGATCTTTCCATGTCAGAACATACCACTCTACATCATTTATAAAAACATAATATATAGTTCTATTTAATCAGTCACCTGTAAATGGCCATTTAGGTTGTTTACAGTTTTCCAATCAGTGTTCATGTTTACTTTTTGAAATAAAATAAAAATGTATCAACTAGCTTTATTTACTAAAGGAAACTCAGTTTCACACATAAGAACACTTATTTGTTCCCAGAGTTAAAATAACTTGAAAAGATTAACGTTTAGCCCTAGCTGGTTTGGCTCAGTGGATAGAGCATCGGCCTGTGGACTGAAGGGCCCCAAGTTCAATTCCAGTCAAGGGCACATGCCTGGGTTGCAGGCTTGATCCCCAGTGGGGGGGGCGTGCAGGAGGCAGCCAATCAATGATTCTCATCATTGATGTTTCTATCTCTTCCTTCTTCTCTGAAATCAATAAAAATATATTTTTTTAAATAAAATAACTTTAAATGATTAACGTTTAGCCCTACATGGTTTGGCTCAGTGGATAAGCCTCGGCCCATGAACTGAAGGGTCCCAGGTTTGATTCTTGTCAAGGGCACGTAGCTCGGTTGCAGGCTCAATCCCTGGCCTGGTTGGGGCACGTGCAGGAGGCAACCAATCAGTCTCTCTCTCTCACATTGATATTTCTCTCTCCTCCCTTCCACTCTCTCAAAAAATAAATGGAAAAATATCCTTGGGTGAGGATTAACAAAAAAAAAAAGATGAACATTTAGTAGTATCTATACATATAAAAGGCTAAGCAACCGTCTGACCATCTGACTGGTAGCTATGACACGCAATGACCCCCAGGGGGCAGATGCTCAACACAGGAGCTGCCGAGCTGCGGTGACTTGGCAGCAGCAATTCTCAAGTGACACACCCCAGAACCAGAGAGGAAGGAGCCTGATTCAGAGGTGCGTCACCCAAGAACCACCCTCTCGCAACCTGGGACCCCTCGGGGGAATGTCGGAGAACCAGTTTTTGGCCTGATCCCTGCAGGCCAGGCCGAGGGACCCCACTCACTCCCCAGGTACCTTTTTAGCCACAGCGCTGCTCCAGGTACAGCTGGCCGGGGAGGGACCACGGGAGGTTGGCTCCAGGGTGTGTCCGGCCCCTCTCACCCAGTCCCACCCCACCAGCCACCTTTTAATTAATATGTGCATGAATCTGTGCACCGGGGCATTAGTTGTATATAAGATGGGCTGTTTTTATTGGCTGTGAAGAAATAAAATACTTTTTTTTACCTTTGATATATGAAATTCGTTTCCTTTATTTTAGTTTCTTAGGTAGACTTGGGGACTAAAAGTCCAAACTGAAATATCACTGCCAAGTAAGTTCACTAAATCCAGCCACAGGTGATGGAGAAGGTTTTGACTGATTTGCATTTATCTCATGGCTTCTACCATGAAGTCTCTGATGAGGCAACAAGGCAAAAAAGTTAAATCGTTCTCCCATCTTCTTAGGATTCATTAACATATCATACCCCTGAAGTAACTGCTGCCTCAGTGATGGTTCAGTGGATTTATCTAGAAGAACCTGAAAAGAAAATAATTTCTTAGTAAAAAAAAAAAAAAAAAATAGAAGGGTTTCCAGTTATACGTAGTAATAATGACTATTAGCTATTTAATAAAGCAGTGTTTAAAAAGTTATTTCTGACTATCTGCCTCAAAATCATGGGGTACTTACTGAAAACATAGGTTGCTATGACACAAACCTATGAATTTGTATGTTTAACAAATATTCCCAGATGGGCTGATCTACACTGAAGAGTAAAAATGTCCTCAGAACAGTTATAACATTCATACTCATAATTGCAATTTTCTTAGTGAACATGAACAATACTTGAAAATCTTAATTCTACCCCTTATGGAGATGCATGAAAAGGCTGCTCCGCCCCCAGGCCACCTGGTTAAACTAAATCCTATGCTGCTGAAAAGACTGGCTGGCTACAAGAACATTTAGGCCAGGTAAACTTTTTAACTATTTGTTGGAAATACTGTGAAATTAAAATATTTAATATGGAAATAAACCATTACCTTTAGCCGGACATCAATGCCCATATTTTTTAAAAATGTTTGTTGTTTTATTGGACCCAGAGAAGCCACTGTTCCCTGTGCCATTCTGCGCAAATAACTGAAGTCCACGTCAGCTGTTAGGTCGGCTGTTCCTGGGGCAATTAAGACATCATGAAGCTTGTGGCCACAAAACCCCTTGAACATAATTTTTAAAATGATAAGTTTTTGTCCTTTTATGCTATTATCAAGATTAAAGAAGTGCTATGATTTTAGTACATTTTATCTAACAACTGTTGAAAATATAGCTTAAGCCAGTGGTTTACACACTGTTAATGCAGTAGCACCATTTTCTATGTGGAAAACCTAGTATAAAGCACAGTGTTGGAGCGCCTGAAGATGCTGCTATCCTTAACAATTAACGTTTTCATGACTGCCCACGAATAGAGGAGATCTCATTAATCCTCCGGATGAATCCAGGTTACCAGAACCTAGATAGTGTTTTACAAAGTCTAACCATCAACTAGGTGCCTCAAAACCACCTGGGAATATGTTACTAGACTCTATCCAGACTTACTGAATCAGAATCCTGGAGGTAAAGCTAGGAAATCAGCATTTCTAATACACTATCCAGGCTTTCCTTAGATGCAATAAAGTTAGAAATTGAGAACCAGAGATTTAGAAAATGACTAATAGCATCTAGTTAAATACATTTCAATTAAAGTAAATTGAACATAACTGATCATATTCAAAGAATTTAAGAACAGATGTTTAGGGAGAAGAAAAAAATACACCTGGAGAAGAAAAAAATAGTGCAAATCTTATAGGAAAAGTTTGAATGATTACAGTAGCTAGATCAAATCTGCAAAGTACCAAATTATTTCTTTAAATGAAGGAGGGGTAGAATATTAAAAAAACTTCAGGCAAAATTTTCCATTTGTATATTTAGATGCTTAGTAGGATCTATGCAGACCTAGGTTCTGCAACTTAAGGAAGAATGTAGACAATTCAGACCCTGTTCAAAGGAAAGTTGGACAGTGGAGTTAGGCTTAGGAATAAGATCTAGAGTTAAAAGTAATTATAATATGAATTAATATTAATTATAAAATAATGTAATACAACAGTGTGAAGCACTATAGAAACCAAAGATAAACATCTTAAATGAGCTTCAAAACTAACAATTGATAACTAAGTAAATCATACCAATTAAATTCTGACAAGTCATGTTACTGAATTATACATACTCTGAAGGTATCTGTCTTAGTCCCATCATGACCGTAATCAGCAATCAGGGCAGCACCTCCAGTAAGAGCAATTCGTTGAGAAAGTTCCTGAATAATAACACCAGCCTCAGGACACACTTCCACATGATCCCTTGTCTCATCATGCTAGTAGGAACAGTTGAAAGAAAACACATCATTCAAAAGAACTGATTCCTTTGTTTTTCAGGTTTTCTGTATTTGCAGGTTTTTCTACAATGAGCATTTCTTATTTACAATAAAAATAAATTTGTTCTCAAACTGTCAAACTACAGCAGGAAGGCTGGGGAGGGTTGGG